CTCGGCGGACGGTAATGAATTCTCCGTCTCTTAAACTGCAACGGATCCTCTTAGCAAGCTAGTCCGGAGCATTTATGAAAACGAGAGCTGTAAAACGGGGCAGTAAAGCCCGCCGGTAATGCCGGGATGAGAAAGCACTGGCTCCGTTTGTAAGCTCCGCGACGAGCCTTTGACATTCCGATGTGTACGAGGTCTTATGGTACCGCGAGGGCCACTTAATAACAATTTCCCTTCGGGCTCGAATTATGGTCATTTAACTACGGTGATTCTCCCTTTTTCTCTAACCTGTGTGAACAACGTTGGAAAATCATAGCGCACTTCAAATGTCAGAGTGTGACACAGTATTGAAATAAATAAACTCATTGCGAAAGAAAGAAAAATCCATTTTTAGTGAACCGATTTGGTTTTTCAATTTATTTTCCGATACGGACGATAGTAATTGATGATATTTGAACCCATTTTTGGATTTACGATGATTTGTATCCGCCTAGATTTCACTTTCTCCCTTTTAAAACGCGTTTCACCTTACACCTTCTTTGAAGCTACTTAGTTTTGGAAAACCCTGTGCTTCAACCGCAAGTCATAACCTAGTTTTTCGACAGTGGCGTTAAATTTATTTTTTTTTTAAAATTCAGTTCTTATAGAGATTTTTTAAAACTTATCACGGTGACCACTTTTTCCCAAAAGAATAAGACATTAAGATCATTATTAGCCATGACAAGCAAATAATTTATTCACCAGGATTCCTCAGGTTCTTGATAGAAGTTCGATAAAATTAATAATAAATATCTACTTTTTCATTGCTAAAACCTTTCGACCCTGTAAAACCCCAAGTATGACACTGTAGATCGATTGAAAAGGAAACTCCAAATTTAATTAATATTATTATATTCCTGAACACGTTTTGAATTTTCCTAAAGTTTTGAAACATGCTGTCCATCTAGTAAATATTTTATTACTTAATAATCCTTCACTATGATATCAATTACCATTATATTCGCCTGTACGATGTGGACATTGGGTACTGTCACAATGCGACCGTCCAAGGGCAAGCAATACAATCATGATGTTCCATTTCGTGACAATCAGATCATCACAGGAAATATATCACATTGGCATTGATCATATTTTCTATGCTGTGCAAAACAGACGATAATTTAATAGACATTAAAGTAAAAACGAGACTACTTTTCTATTTCAGCCGAGCGTTAAAGTCTCTGTGGAGACTTGAACGCATCTGTAGAAGCAGTGGCGATTTAAAGAATCGCATTTAAATAATTGTTTAATTATTACTACGGCTATTTATTTTTTAACAATCATTTGTTTAAAAGTTAACATTTTTCAGAATTATCTATTTGGTGAAAATAAATTGAAACTGGGTAAAGTTGAGAGTTTATACAATACTGGAAAGTAGAATCTTCGCTCAGTTGGCTTTACAAGAAAAGTCAATAAGCCCACTTTCTCCTCAAAGTGGGAAAAAACACAATATTGACTACTTGATAAGCAGATTCCTCCACGCTTTGGCACGAGAACGTCTGATGCGTCGAGCCTCTTTGTACGTCGAGCCAAGATCGATTCCATTCGGGAAAAAACCCTAATGAAATCCTCTCAATTAGCGTGGAATTAATGTCAATAGTTCGACCCTTTGAAATGATTTATGTACAATAAAAGGGAAACGAGTCTTGACCTCGGAAAAGCAATAAAATCGCAGAAACCCACGCTGAAAATAAACTAGATTGTAACATTTTCGTGCAATGTGGGAATTTTTTCAGATAAATCAGAACCACTACGAATTTGAAACACTTTGCAAATTAAAAAAATATATAAAACAGAAATTTAATTAAAAAATATATCATGTTGATAAGTATATATATTTGGTACTTGGATTGTTTTTAAGTCTAGCGGATAAGGTCATCACGGGTTCGTCTGTTTAAAATTTTCTGTCTTTGCTTTTAAATAATTAAAAACAACACGATAACGAGTTCAAGATGTTTAAAAACCGGAAATATTTAACAATCTGTCAACAAGCATGGTCCGCTTTTGCTCGCTGTTTACAACAATCTAAAAAGAGATAGTGTTATAAAAATCATTGAAGAAAGAATACCGTCAAATTATTTTGATAATGGGTTGCCTGACGGACTCATCTTCTTGGCTTACTCTCGCTGGTTTGAAATAACGAACCTCGCTGAAGATGGCATGATTTCGTACCCCGTACAATGTACATAACACGAAAAAATAAACGTACATGGAAAACTGATCAGTTCAAAAATAACAAGTAAAAATATCGATATCAATAACAACCCGGTCCTCACAGTATCGTTGTGTACACGTATAAAGAGAAAAACGGGAAGAATATTTTAAAAAAATTATTTAATTGATTTTGTTCAGTAGTTATCAAAATAAGTCCAAGGAATAATACAAATATTTATTTTTTATCTGTTATGTGATCGTTTTGGTCTCCCTATACTTGCTGTTGATCGGTGAAGGCTTGCTCGTCAATGAACATATGTTGACCTTAAAGTACCCCACTGAAGATGGCGCAAAGCCAAAAAACCGTTTGATCAAAATAAAATTCCGTGAGAATAGACGGACCCATAAGTGGTCGGTTCAGCATATCCTTGCTGTTTTCTGCGCTAAGGATTCGCGTTTTTATTTCCTCTCTATAAAACGTAATGATTATTCATCAATCGGTTTAATAGAAAAAAATGAAAACAGCTAGATTTTACTACTGTTTTTGAAATTAAAAGCCTTTCTTGACTTTTCAACGTCCTGGTTTAATTTAAGTTGCCCAGTATTGAAAAAGGAATGAACCAGCGATGGTCTATTACTTGAGGTCATCAGAATATCAGTCTGGTCCTGAGACATTTTACATGAATCAAAAGCTTGGTAAGATTTTTATTGTTTTTTGTTCCCTGATTCACTCTTAATATAAAATAGTTCATTTAAAGTTTTTATTCAGCAATAATTGATTGATAAGAAAGAAAGGAATCTTCAAACTTTTCTGAATTCGAGAATTCTGAGGACTTGAAAATGGTGAACCGGTATTTTTGGCAGTTTCCGATCATAATACTCGGCCTTCCTGCTTGTTTTTGGTATGCCAAATGCGTTTCGATTTTTTCTTATACACTTCTGCACTTTTTATTTTATAAGTAGCACTGCATGTATGGTAAATTATATGCCACCTTCGCTTAGCATAAATATAATCTAAATTTTTATTTTATGTTTTTTCTAATGCTATTTCTATTAGGTGACAAATTTAGCATTTATTCTAGGGAAATAGTAAGAAATTTTGGCCGTTACCGATCATTTTGCCCTGCATATCCAAGCTCTTTGGGCCGTTTTGCACCTTCCCGACAAGTTCAGTAATGGGCCTGTTTATTATTTTTAGTCCACTTAAACGCGTTTTGATCTTTATTTTTACACGTGCTACACAATTATTTATTTACTTTTGGCCGTAATTATTTCTGATACAAAAGAAATCTAGTCAGGAAAACAAATATTGTCTTCGTCTTAGCATAAATGTAAGCTAACGTTTTTACATAAAAATTTATAGTTATTCAGATCGATTAACGGTCACTAACCTCTACACATAAAAATTTATTTCAAAAATCTTTTCTAATGCTTTTTTTATTAGATGACAAATTTAGTCTTTATATTAGTAAAATAATACGATTTTTATTTTACTACTTTGACCGTTTATGATCATATTGTTCTACATATCCACGGTGTCTGGGATGTCCTGATGAAAAACCCCTTTTCAGCTTCAAGACATCTTCAATGATGGGTCTGTTTATTATTTAGAATTTTAAACGAGATTTGATCTGTTTTTAAACACAATTATTCATTTTCTATCTGGCCTAAGTTATTCCACGTGCAAAAAATTGAACCTGTCAGGAAAACAAAAGTCTCCTTCTTCCAGCATAAATATAAGCTAAAGTTTTAAGTTTATTTAATTTTTTCTATTGGTAATTTTTATTAATTTACAAATTTATCATTAGTAGACAAATAATACGACTTTTCGCCTGCCTTTATGTTCATATTGATCTACATATCCACTGTGTTTGGCATGTCTTGGTCTACCAGACGCTTTTCAGCTTCACGACATCATCAATAATAGATCTGTTTATTATTTTGAATTTAAACGAGATGTGATCTGTTTTTAAACATGTTATAGAATTATTCATTTTCTATCGGTCTTAGGTTACACTACATGCAAAAAAAAACAGACCCTGTCAGGAAATTTTAAGTCCCTTTTTCCAGCATACAAATAAGCTAAAGTTTTACTTAAAAGTTTATGTAATTTTGTTTGTCTTATTTTATTTTTATTAATTGGTAAATGTAGCATTATTAGACAAATTATACCAAATTTTGGCCCTATGATTTTATAGGGCCAACAGATCCACATAGTTTAAGCTGTCCTGGCCTACTAGATGTTTTTCGTCTTCTCGACATCTTCAACGGTCTATTCGTAACAGTTATTCATTTCAAAGGGAAAAAAAGACTTGCCGTTTAATAAAAATAACACAAGCGCAGGAAAAACACACACGCCTTCTGCTGAAGATGCTCAGAAGCCGAAACATTCCTGATCCGTCAAACCAGCGAAGGCCAAAATGTTCCGAAACGACCAAAATGCGCGTTCACCCTCCAGAAAGCAAGACGAAAAATACCCGTTTTTATTTCACACTCTGACCTGATAATCGAGCATATTTAACCGAAAAATGCTGATAAATTGGATCAATCCACACTATTATTATTATTTTTTTATTTTTTAAAGAAGGTACGTACAAGTTATGGTTTTAGATGGAAATTCGATTATTTTAATTTTTGATTTTTGGGTTGATTGACTAGCATGTAATTTTTTGTAATGTACTGAAGATAGTGCAATTGGTATGTGTCTAGGTATCAACCATATGCTGATATCGTCTATCGTCGCATTGATTGGTACGATTATCTATGTAATTATATTTTTAATGATGATGATGTGAAATCGTGTAACTCACGTTTGGTGTTTTGAGGGCCGGGTTGTTGGCCAGGAGCTGTCTGAAGCGTTCGGCGGTGTCGACGACCAGCATTGGGCTCGTTTGATGCGCCTCGGCTCGTAAACAGCGCGTACCGCGAGTGTTTCTTCCTTGTCCTGACTGACGAGGAGACGTTAACGGCAGCCCTGCCCGGGTGAAACTGGCGAGAAATGGGAAGGATCTGTGGGTGTGGCTGGAGCACTGGAGGTGGCACCGGTCCGCCAATCCGTTCCAGCGGTCCACCACTCCAGCCCTCCTGGATGTGCCGTATGGGAATTTATTTCCGGGTACTGGAACTGGTTTCCGAAGCGTTTCCAAATTAAAAAATCCATTTTTTTTAAACACTGCCATGGAGGTAAAAATCGAATCTTTTTGTCACTCCTCCCCTTTTTACAATAATTAGCATAACACCGAAGTGGTTATTAGCCTTTTATGTGTAGAAACTGAATTATAAATATCGTGAAGGATCAGAGTTCACGAACGCTATTTCTATTTGATAAATAGTCCTTTCAGTAGGAACAAGGATTTCGGTTTATAAATTGCGACTATATTTAAATGACGGAAAAGTTATTAACGTCTTTACAAATTCGTAACCTTTGAGTAATTCGACTTAAACATAATTATTTATGCTGGCCATCCTTGTAGCTACTTAATCTCGTGGGACATAATTTTTATTCTACACTAGGGACAAATTGATACAGCCAGTATTTTTAGAAAAGCTTGGGAGAAATTATAACAAAACATACATATACGCGACATAATTGCCATAGAAGACATCAACAACAACAACATCAACCAAGGGCGGATCCAGGTTGGTCATCAGGAGGGTGGTTAAAAAATTTCGATTTTTTTGAGAATTGAGAAAAACATTTACACATCGTTTTTCGTCCGAACGTTTCAATACTTTACTTTAAAAAAGGAACATAATTTTCATAAGTTTCCATAATGTTTTTCCGCCTTAGTCTGCAATGTTTTTAGTCACCAACATTAACGAATATAAAAAAATTAATCGCCATCTTAGAGGTTATAACATCAAGAGATCGAAGGGTCAGAAATCATAAAATCATAGAAATGATAAATGATGGAGTGAGTGTGGTGTTCAATACTTTTTAAAAGGGTAGAAGGACTTCTACAACCACGTCTCTGGACTTTGGCAATTCATGTCGAGAGACGTGGTTGTAGAAGTCCTTCAACCTGATGATGAGCTAAAAGGCTCGAAATCCGGATCGTTGCAAAAACAACTTACTGTGAGTAGGAACTATCCTTTTAAAAAGTATCATAAAATCATGGTCTGCGATGTAATTTTTTAGCACGAAACATAAACGAACAAAAAAAAAACCGTCACGGCAGTAAGAGACTTCTGTCTTTTCCGGAATCCAATCCCACAGTGCTAAAAATTTGCTAAAAAATTATAGCATAATTTGAAAGCCTTGGGCATATATTATTATTTATTTTATACAAAACATAACATCATAAACATAAATGTTTTTGTTTCGGATTAACAGCTGGCGTTGAATTAAATTAGATTCCGGCCATTTTTTCCTAAACCACTATAAATATTGAAAATAAAATAATGATTTTTCTAGTTAACTACCTAATTTGAAATTTTATTGAAGCTCCAAAATCAACAGTGAAGATGACGAAATGCCGAAACGTGTGACTGACAAAAAGCGATGTTAGGCGACTATCAAAATATAGGTTCAGCCCCGAGCAGATCACAGGGGGAAACATCACAATTTTAGAAGAAATTTACATAAAATATAATTATTCTATTTATTTTTAATTGTAATAAAAATTCGTATTCATGGGCTTTAAAGGGTGCTTAAAATTGGGTTTTTTCCAAAACAGAATAAACATTAATTATCCCACTAGCATTACAGCAGGATGAACCGACACGGGATCTAGAAAATTAAGCTTAATTAACTCCTTTTTAACTTTTTTTCTTAGAAGAAAACGAACTTTAGCAATTTTGTTAAATGTTAGATGGAAAATACCATGAGTAGTGATGAATTGATTGTTGGCGCCTTATAAATCAGTGTTGCCAGGACAAGGGTTGAAACAGAGCAGGAACAACACTGCGTCCGCCCTAAATTCAAGGGATTTCATTCTAACCTTAAACCTTCGTAAATTTGGCATTGCTCTGAAGTAACTAGGGCAAAAAACGGTTAAATTAAAAAAATGGAAAAAATTTTATGTTTGACAAATATACCAATCGAAAAAGGACGCAGAGAGCCATGTCGGAGATAGAAGATTCCATGATTGATATTTTAGAAAAAAAAAATGAGTGTTGCCAGTACACGAGTAGAAACAGAGCAGGAACAACACTGCGTCCGACCTAAATTCACGGGATTTCATTCCAACCTTAAACCTCGGTAAATTTGGCATTGCTCAGAAGCAACTTAGGACAAAAAAAGGGTTAAATTATAAACTGGAAAAATTTGTATGTTTGACAAATATAACAATTGAAAAAGGACGCAGAGAGTCATGTTGGAGATAAAAGATGCCATGATCGAGATTTTCGAAAAAAATCAGTGTTGCCAACACACAGATTGAAACATTACAAAAACCTGCCAAATATATACCCATGGGAATAGCCAAGATTTAGATAATTTGCTAAATTGGAGTTACCCTTAGGGAATGTTGGGAAAAATAGGTTAATATATGGGTTTCTGTAGTTGTTGCGGATGTATTTCTAGGTTTTGATTGGAACCGGAATTATATTTATTCTCTTTTTTCTTAGCCTAGTCGTTGTTGAACCTTTTATTTCATGTTTCAAGCTATTTAGAAGCAAATAAATCGACTTTATTGTACACATTTGTAAATATTTAGAGGATTCTACCTTAATTTACACATTTTTGCCAATATTTAATAAACTAAACAACAAAATCATTGAAAATTTAAAAAATTATCAAAAACGTACCTGGTCGGCGTAAATTTACAGTACAAAATTTAAAAATCTGAATTATTTCAAGAATAATTTTGAACATTAAAGTTTTGAATTTAAAAAAATATTTTGAACAAACTGCATTGATTGAAGACAAAGTATAAAACGGAAAGCAAGTAATACGATAGGAAAACGCCTAGATAAAACATCCCTCTATACCAAAATGGTGTTCTGACAATGGTATGTGATTGCGGGCAGAAACGATGCGAAATAAAAGAAGACAAATGGCATATAAGGGAATTTATTGATTTACCTCACACGAAACGAAACCTAAAGCAAACAGACAAACTCAAAATTACCACGATACACACAAAAAGGACAAATGCATATATTAGAAAGCTAAGGCATATACAAACATACGGAAAATAAAACATATAAGGGCATTTAAGCACAATAAAACGAAAATCAAACGGCTCGACCAAAACCACTATCAATCTTTAAAGACTAAAGATGTATCTATTTATCCTGGGCAGGAATAAAAAGAAAATATCCCAAGAGGCTAAGTAGCTCTAAAATATAGAAAGAAACATGCCCATCTTAAAAAACTGCCTACAATTCTTCCTACTTTACCAAAAACGTCGTTTCTTTTAAGAAGACATCTCAATATTTTTAAATGTGTGGTATTTAATGACCGTTAATTAATGATTATTTGGAGATCGTGAGATGCGGTCTGGTGTGACGTAGGTTTCGTGACGTTTCGAAACATTGGCACGATAAAGAAAATGTTTTTCTAAACCTACGTCACCCCAGAACGCATCTCACGATCTCCAAATAATATTTTTAAATTTATGTAATTTATTATTTTTGGTTTCACTTAACGATAAAAATAGGAGTCGAATGAAATTTATAGGAGTTATACTTTCCTGAAGCGTCGAAGTCTCCGAGAACGCCGAATACAAATTTACGAAAAACACGCTTTCTCAGTTATTATTGGTCATTTTGCATGAAACACATATCAGCCATTATGTATGATGATCTCTAGTAGGTCGGTCGTTTAGCATGAAAAACACTTTGCCAAACGAAAAGATCGGACATTAAAAACACCCACTTTATCAGTCGTTACGTATGATGCCCACAAGATTAGTCATTTTTCCAGAAAACCCACTTTATCAGCCATTAGGTCCACTCAGAGGGTTGGTCATTTTTCATAAAACACTTTTTTTCATCATTTTGTATAATCTTCACCCAGAAGATTGGTCATTTTGCAAAAAAAAACACTTCATCAGTCATTAGGTATTAAGTCTACCCAGAAGATTAGTCAGTTCGCAGAAAACACTATTTTTCAGTCATTATGTCCACTCGGAGGGTTGTTCATTTGGCATAAAACAGACTTTGTCCACTCAGAAGATTGGATATTTTGCATAAAACACCCTTTTCCAGTCAATATGTCTAATCTTCACCCAGAAGATTGGTCAATTCCCATAAAACACTATTTTTCAGTCATTATGTCCACTCAGAGGGTTGTTCATTTTACCTAAAACAGACTTTGTCCACCGAGAAGAATGGACATTTTGCATAAAACACTTTATCAATCATTATGTATGGAGTCAACCCAGAGGGTTGTTCATTTTGCATAGAACACCCTTTACATATAAATCATGTAAAATGTCCATCCAGAGATTGGCCATTTTGCATAAAATACACTTTGTCCATTTAGAAGATTGAACACTGCATATCACACACCTTTTCAGGCATTATACATATTATGATATCCACCCAAAAGACTGGACACTTCGCATACTATACAGTTTTAGGAGGCCAGAGGATTTGTTCTTTTGCATAAAACAATTTATCAGACATTAAGTATTATGTACCCCCAGAAGATTGTTCATTGTGCTTAAAACACACTTTGCCCACCGAGAAGTTTGGACATTTTGCATAAAATACACTTTGACCGCTCAGAACATTGGACATTTTGCATTAAACACATTTTTTCAGTCATTATGTATGACCTCCACCTAGACGATTGGACACTTTGCATAGTACACACTTTTTCAGTCATTAGGTAGTATTTCCACCTAGAAGATTGGTCATTTTGCATAAAACATTTTAATAGACATTAGATATTACGTCCACTTAGAATGTTAGTCATTTTGCATTAAACACACTTTTTCAGTCATTATGTATGACCTCCACCTAGACCATTGGACACTTTGCATAGTACAAACTTTTTCAGTCATTATGTACGATCTCCACCCAGACGATTGGTCATTTTGTATAAAACACTTGATCAGACT